GAGGCAATTTACTTTAAAATATTGATATATATGTCACAGATGATAAATGTTCTTTAGTTGGAAAGTTATAGTAATTAATTATATCAGGTTTCTGCTTTGTGTAAGGAGTGAAAAGAACCAGAAACCTTTGAGTATAAAGAGATTAATTTTTGAAGTAAAAAACAATATGCTCTGATACCGGCAATGCTTTATACAGCATATGCAATCCTCTCCATGCTGAAAGTTGGTCTGGAAGACAAAGAAGAGCCTGCCCGGGGACTTGTAGGTCACCCTACGGAGGACTTCCTCAATTGTCCAGGGACAATTCTCAGCATACAGGTAATATATGTATTTGATATAACACCAGGTCAGTCTATACATAGCCAGCGTTGGAGAACTTTGGTGTAGACTTGTTCCCAGCCTCAGCAACATCCAATAGAAGAAAAATGGAAAATGGCACCATGTTTCCACTAAAAACTTAGTTAATTTAGTTCCTAAAGCTCTGATGTGCTTCCTACTGTACTTAGTGCTTCGTGGAAGACAAAGAGCACTTTAACAAAGTGTGCTATGGGTTCCGATGATAGGCAGCAAAATGACACGTTGGTATGTCCAAATTCTTATAGTGGACCAGGGGTCTTCACTCCTGGAGGAGGAGCTGCGGAGGGTCATGTGACCGTGGACTCAGGTAAGTAAAAAAAAAGGTGTTAGATCAGTGGTTCTCAACCCGTGTAACCTCAGGATCCACATTTGTCCTTGGTCATTAAGTCACAGCCCAAGTCACACTGCACTGAAATGCATGGCATTGTGGTACCACGCGTTCTGGTGCGGTTGATCAAACTGTGGACGGGGGTGAGTTTAGGGTGCCATTCAAATGAATGGCAATGCAATGCACCTCCCACACCAGAATGTGAGGTAGGTGCTATTGCGTTGTACAGTGCGTTGATCGCACAGGACAATTAACGCAATGTACTAGTGTGAATGAGCTCTCAAAGACACACACATTCTATGTAATTTATAAATAGGTTAAACAATAAGGGACTCAGCACTGAACCTTGGGGGACACCACTAACAACCTCAAAACATTCAGAGTACGAATCATTGATCACCACTCTCTGAATACAGTCTTAAAGCCAGTTTTCTCACTACCCAATTACAGATTGAATACTCTATACCTACTGACCTTAACTTATACATTAGCCGCCTGTGGGGAACTGTGTCACACGCTTTTGCAAAGTCCAAGTATACTATATCCACAGCCCTTCCTCTGTCCAATTTTTTACTCACTTCCTCATAAAAAGAAAGTAGGTTTGTTTGACAACTTCTGTCTTTTGTGAATGCGTGCTGGTTATCGCTTATGATATTATTTTCAAGCAGAAACAATTGCATGTGATCCTTGATCAATCTTTCAAGTATCTTCCCAACTATTGAAGTTAAACTTACATGTCTGTAATTACTTGGTAAAGACTTTGATCTCTTTTTAAATATGGGCCAATCCATTGGTACCATGCCAGTCATTATAGAGTCTCTAAAAATTAGATACAATGGCTTTGAAATTACACAGCTCAATTCTTTGAGGACACGTGGGTGTAGGCTGCCTGGTCCAGATGTTTTGTTCACCTTAATTTTGTCTAACTGTTTCTGGACCATATCAATAGTCAGCCATTGTGGTTCAGTAGAGGCTGTGGCACTGCTATCTCCATTATGGACTTGAGTTACATCCTGTTCCTTGATGTGCACAGAGCTGAAGACATTATTTAATAGATTTGCCTTCTCTTTGTCCCCAGTTACCAACTCTGAGTTATCTTTTAAGGGGCCTACATGCTCAGACCTGATTTTTTTACTATTAATATATTTAAAGAATGTTGGGGGGTTAATCTTGCAATCTTTTGCAACTTGTGGTTTGTTTTTAATATGTGAGAGCTTTATTTCCTGTTTTGTTCCATATTTTGTTATATTTTTGTAGCTGTCAAATGACAACAGTGTTCCTTCATTTTTATATTTTTAAATGCCCTTTTCTTATTGTTTATGGCTTTTTTTAACATTGGAAGTGAGCCACATGAGCTTTACTTTTAGCCTTTTAAATGTATTGCTTACAGGAATATATTTTGCCATATGGTTACAAACAATTGTTTTGAAATATTCCCATTTTTGTTCTGTGTTTTTTGATGAGAATATCCCCTCCCAGTTTAAGTCTTCAAGAGCAGCCTTCAGCATGGGAAATTTTGCTCTCCTGAAGTTATGCTTTTTTTTTTCCAGTATGTGCATGTTGTTTACAACTTACGTTGTATGAAATCATATTATGGTCACTGCTACCCAGATGTTCTTTTATATGAATATTTGTAATAAGCTCTGCATTGTTTGAGATTACCAGGCTTATTGTATGTGTAAGAGCATACAGTTTGAGAATTGCTTTCTTGTAATACAAGCAAGCTATCTTGGGATTGGGGTGGACTGGGGCATGATGGCAATGTCTAGATGAAAAACTAGGCTGTGCTTTCTGCGTGCATCTTGCGGTTTTATATATTTAATTTTTATTGAAGGGAAGGTTTAGCCCTCAATCCCCAAATAATGAATAATATCAGATGTGGAATTTATGCAGGAATCCTGTAGAAGCTAAGATTTAATATATATATTTTTTTTATTTAAGGAATTAATGTGGTTTTGGGCAAAAATACAGGTTGCATATAAGTATCCAGGACTGCTGGCATAGTGAAAAAATACTGTTGGAAAACACATTTTAACAAATGAAAGGCTTGTTCCAGCTACTTTGCCTATACAGGACCCCTATCTGCATGCTCCATGCTTCCTGACACTAACACAAGGGGGGTGATTTACTAACCTAAACACACACACACACCAGGTGTGTGTGATTTTCACACAGCAAAACGTATTTATCAACCAAAAAGTCTCTAAAAGCATATTTCCACTAATGCCATATATGGAAAAATCATGCACATGATGCATATATAATGCTGCTTCACAGTTTAGACAAAAATGGTTAGCTCATGCATTTACATTCCTGGATTCATCAACGCAAGCAACATAACATAGAGCTAATTTACACCACATTACCTTGCAATTCATTGCAGGGCTTTGCACAACACACCTGCTGGGTGTGTACACACTACAAAGGTGTTTCGATTCCTCCCATAGATCATGCTGGGAGGGAACACACTACAGAGGTGTATACACGTTCGTGGTGTGTTTAAAAGGTTAGTAAATCAACCCCAAGGAGATGGAGGAAGGTGCTGGATTTTTTGTCTGGTTACAGGCTTAACCCCAAAGATCCTCTCATAGTGAAGTAAACATCTCCATCTACAAATTAGTCACTTTAAATGTGTGAAAACAGTAGTTAATGTTTTCAATGCAATGCTAGTAAAAGTATATGTGAACGACAGTGTGTAGGATGTAGATCGATGGGAGAGCCCTACGCACACCTTACAGCAGTCTCGGCCAATAAGTGAGATGGTGCTTGCAGTGACAATCACGGATGGCGCCGTGCAAACACAAGATAAAGAAGTAAATCACCAGCACTCAGCGATGTAGTTCAATATGTCCATTTATTGGACAAAGACGTCACAGTAATCAAAGCAGAAGTGTGTAGGATGTCTCTTCCTCACAAATCAGTGTGCCTATCTACTCTTTAAAGACTGCTCTGTGTATATAATATAAAGGCAGCAGTGAGAGAAAAAATGTACACAATAATTTGCAGCTCGCAGTATACTGAGACCACCGCAGCCGGGACGGATCTTGACAATGCTGTCGAGATCCACCCAGCTGGCCGATTGACAGCGGGCTCTGCCTATCTAGAGGCAGAGCCAGCTGTGCCAGCCCCCTCCCCGTCCGTTCCTCCAGTAAGCGCTGGAGTATTGGAGCGGGAATCCCTGCCGTGAGCCATGACTGACAGTCAACGCTCTCTGCAGGGAAATGATTGAGAAGTGAGCGAGCGACGGTATGCGTTCGCTCACTTCCCGATCTATTGAGCTGACGTCTGTCGGTTTCTTTGTCACACGTCACATCTAACTATGAGGCTGAGTGATTTTCACTCACCTCATAGTTCTTCTTTGATATTTTGAAGCAGATAATAATTACGTCCATTTTGCTAGCTGATGACCTCTAGGCTTGGAAATTTGTTTCAAGAATTTTTTTTTTGAATGAATGTATTCCATAAATATACTGAATATTATTGAATGAATAATAATATAATTCTATGAATTATTCAATGTATGTATTTTATTGTATTAAATTGTCCCTCTTTTGTATATTTATTTTGGCTCTGTCAACATTTAAAGCGGACCTTTACACTTAAAAATCAAATTCTACCAATGCACCCCTCTATGTATGATGATTATTAATAACATAGACATGTCAGATGTAAAATGTAGTGATTTTGAAATACTTACACTTGCAGAGCATTCACTTCCTGCTTTGAAAGGGCAAAATGACTTCAGTTTGCCAACGCAATGCACACTGGGATTGCCTTGCCATCAGCAGAGCATTGCTGGGAAATCTCATCTGTAATCTCTCGAGATCTTAGGGTAAGGCATTTTCCTCCCCTGAGATGGTGTGCATGGTCACATGTCCTAGTCACATGTCTAGTCACATGTGCCAGAAATCCAGGAAGTAAAAGGAGAGATAGTAATCTGCATTTAGTAAACATAGAGACTGGGGAAGAAAAGAGAAATAAGATATGCAAAGAATACAAAGCCAGCAATTATCTAGAAGTATGTGTTTATAGATTGTCATCACTAAACATTTCTAAAGGTTTGTTGTTATTTTAAAGATATGGGTAAAGGTCCGCTTTAAGGGTCTTTATAGACCAGTAATGCTGACCAAACAGAACAAAAGTTGAACATTTGTCTGTTCTCATAATAGAAAAACGTACATGGCGTTGTATGCCTTGACTTTGGAAATGTTTCATCTTGCTCTCCTCTGACTTTCTATGTGTTCATACTGTTATATTGGCGTAAAACAGAACAATTTAAAATAATTCTGAGCCATGGTTCTTTTTCTTTTCCCAGGGTGCAGTTCACGAATTGAAGCTCGTGTCAAACCACTGCTTCCAACTCAAATGTCCAGAATAACCACGTCGCCAGCAGTTACGTTTGTTACTAGTTTGGCAGATCATACATCAAATGGTAGGTTAATAAATGTAAAAATAATGGCAAAACTGTCTTAGAATTGGATAGGAGTGTTGAGGAACTAGAACACCTGTTGGGTTTATGTTGAGGTCTGTGCCCCCGTTAGGGAGATTCACTCCCTCTAATTGTCATGATCACCAATGTTACCAAAAATGAAAGTGAGGGTAAATCCAATATTTTGAATAGAGGGGAAATCTTACAATGGGCACACTTGGACTTAGAGGGGATTTCCATCAAATTGGAAAGATATCGTCTCACTTCTTGTTGAATTTACAGGACAGGAAATTAAATATTCACAAAGAGACACCGATAGCACAAAAATTAACCCAGCAGCAGTTTTTACCCTTCTCTACCTTATCCAAAATAAAAAAAAAGAAAATAAAAATGTTGGTTTTAGATACGATCTAAAGTGATATGTAAGTCAAAAGCTATTTCAAATGGAGATTAAATCACTTACCATGGATGCTGCTCCTTGATGTTTAAAAGTTTTAAGTTCCTGCAAAATCAGCTGGTCCCCTGAGCACCAGCCCTGATATCCTGTTTTAGGGGGGCTCCTTGTCTCTTGTACGGTCCTGTGGAGCCACCCTTGTTTGTCTGGAGACTGCACTGTCCTTTGTGATCTTGCACTGGACAGGAAGTTCAGGGAAGCAGAGCTGGGAGAGTTGGAGCTGTTTGGAAACATAACGATTGTAGGTGCTTGGGCAAAAATGTAAAGCAATACTTTGCTGGGCAATGTATATTTGTTTGATCTGTATGTAAAAAAAAGTATGAGAGTTTATTACTACACACAGTCAGATTTGAAAATACAGCCTTTAAATGTATTCAGAGGACATGGTCTATCCGCCCAAGGCTTCTGTTCTTCATCCAGTCATTGCTGTGATACACCAATCTATCCACTGTTCATAATTGGATGTTCTGGGACTCCACCCATTACTGTAGATCCTCAAATCATCTCTGAATTGGTGCTGACACTATCCTTCCTTCTGGAGGGTGGCTACTTTTGTTCCCCATGATCCCTGTGTGTGTTGTAAAGTAGCCACCACTCCAAGCTCACTCCTGTGATGGACTACAATCTCAATACAACTTAGTAAAGTAAACATGAGATTGTAGTCCATCACAGGAGTGAGCTTGGAGCGGTGACTACAACACGCACATGGGCCATGGGCAACAAAATTAGCCACCCTCCAGAAGGAAGGACAGTGTCAGAATCCAGAGATGATTTGAGGATCTACAGTCGAGTGTTACACAAATAAGATACATTTTTGTTAATAGTTAAGGTGTTTGAATGCATTTTTAGGATTAACTCCTGAGTTTAGAGTCACGTTATGTAATGGGAAAGCAGTTGCGAAAAAAAAAGGCCAATAGTGGAAATGTAAAAATTGCTCTGGTCCACAACAGGTAGTCAGGTATAAGAGCTGAAATTGAAAGTTTTCCATTGCAGTGGGGATACCTGTGCACTGCAAGGGTTAACTACTCATTTATACCTAGGGGACAGGAAAAAGCTGTTTTGCTTACCTGATCCCCGCTCCCACTGGCTCCTTCTGTGCTGCAAGACCGGTCCCCACAGCCTCTTCTCCCCTTTGCTCCGGTGGTCTAAGGATCATCCAAACGTGATTTCAGGGGCTGATTCCGCACGTTCATGGCTATAGTGATAGCTGCAAATGAGCGGAATCTGTGCCAATGTAAAGATTTTAGTGTTTTTGTGCCATGCGGTATTCTGCATGGAATACCGCATGGGAAACACAAATGCTATATGTGAATGGAGCCTCAAACAATCTTATCTTTCTTGTGTAAACTAGTAATCCTATCAACAACCAGTTAATGGAGATAATCAAAGGCAGGCATGTTTGAAGTCCGGCCTCTGTAACAACAATGGCTGCCTCCATAGATAATGGAGAAGTGTAGCTACAAAGGCATAGGAAGTGTCTTACTTTGAGGATCACCAGGCTAAAATAATGGGGAAGACATCTGAAACAGAAAAAAAAAACTAATGCAGCTACCACATCCAAGGACTGGCAAGCTGAAATATGCAACATATTTGATTTGGGGTTTAGATATGCTTTAAATAAATATGTTTGATACTTTATGATGCCAGAGGACTTTTATAGTAAATCAAATTTGCCAAGGTTTTTCTGCCAGTTGTTAGCTGATAAGATGGTCTTCCCGCATTCCTTTTTATCTTGGTAAGGGCCCTGTCATTTTAGGCAAGCGGTACTTTTCTTTTCTATGTGATATTATATATTTCATGCTAGGCTGGAGAGCTGTACATTTAATCCCCATTATTGTTACAATTGATACAGAATAAAGCCTGTGAAAAAACGTTTTATCTCAACAGCTGTGTGAATACGGTACAAAATGACATTGTCGGTCACCTTGTTTGAACCGGTTATGTTAGACTTCCTCTGAATTATTCTGAACTCGTATTTGCATATTTGTTGTTCTCTCTCAAATTTTCAGTTTCCTCCGTGCTTGCTTCAATTAAATCTGCAATTTACGGTGATGCAAGGGAGCTTCTCACTCATCTAGGTCAAATTAAAAAGCCAATTTACAAGCTTAATGCATATAGAGCTTGGAAATATGCTGACAAAATGTGTGAATTTTATGGTTTCAATTATGTCACTAATGAGCCCACTTTAAACCAATCACCCCTTCCTATGACTGGTCTGGATAGTGGTATTAGAGTATAATTATCGATAAAGATTTGGCTTTTTGACATTTGGTCAATGGTAAAGCAGGAAGGATAAAATGATATTAACAGAACACAAGCTGCTAAGAGGAGGTATGTAAACGATTGGATGACCTTTAACCCCTTCATGACTGAGGCCCTTTTTTCAATTTCTGCACCCATGTTATATTCCACACAGGAAACAGGATTTTCTTCATGGTAATGTATGTTATTTTGAGAGTGTTTTGTTTAAAAGTTGAACAGAAAATCAAAGAAATATTGAATCAGCATGCTGGTTATGTTAGTAAGAAAATGTTCTTTATTGAAAATCATTGGAATGTAAAGTTAGATGTCAGAAGTAGCTCTTTTAAGCCATGCTCTGGCTGTGGTGGCTTCCTGTAATGAGGGGCCGGTGGCAGTGTCAATTCATCCAATGAGGTTCATTCAAAATGATTGTCAATATGGGGAATATAATGGTCAGCTTCTAGGTATTGGGTGACAAGGCACACACCTGACCATCTAGATCAGGGGTGCCAAACCCAATCGTGGGCCGCATCAACATTATGGTTGCCCTCTAAGGGCCTGTAAGACTATATAAATGTATCTAATCTTTATCATAATTGCCTCTGCATTCGATTATCACTGGTTTTAGTAATAACTTAATACCTAGATCTGAAAGTAGAAGTCTAGGAAATGGCCTGGTGGGCCGGATTCGGCCCCTGGGCCTTGAGTTTGACACATGTGATCTAGATAGAAATGAGGGGTACCACCCTTCTCTCAGAAATGTCTCACAGACATGGACCTGTCACTGCAGGATACCTTACACGATCAAAGATACATTGTTCGCTGACACTAGAGTTCCCTTGTACAGTGGAATACCATTTTATTTTTGTGCTTGTTCTTGGTATTTCAGTCCCAAAAACCATGAGATATATAACTCTAAATCTGGCTTCTCAGCTGTAGTAAGACATTACACCCAATAGAAAGAATTTCCTAATTTATTACTGATACAATTCCCAAACTTTGAGATGTACTATTTTGATCACACATCACACTACTACATATCAACATGGGGAATACAGTCTACAAACTTTACTGTAAACTGCATAGGCAACATAGTCCAACAGCTTCTTGGTTCGCTACATGGGGAGGACATTCCATAAACTTCTCAGTACGCTACATGGGGAGGACAGTCCATAAACGTCTCAGTACGCTACATGGGGAGAACATTACATAAATGTCTTAGTAAACTACATAGGGAAGACAGCTCATTAATTTCTCTGTACAATATATGGGGAAGACAGTTCATAACTTCTCTGTACACTACATGGGGAAGATGGCTTATAGACATTTCTGTACACTCTATGGGGAAGGTCCGTAAAGTTCTCTGTAAACTACACGAGGAAGAACTTCACTGCACGGTACATGGGAAGGGCAATCCATAAACTTCTCTGCACACTACATGGGGAGGACAGGCCTTAAACTGCTCTGTACACTACATGAGGAAGACAGTCCATGAACTTCACTGTACAGTACATGGGAAGGGCAATCCATAAACTTCTTTGCTTACTACAGGGGAGGACAGGCCTTAAACTGCTCTGTACACTACATGGGGAGATGGTCTATAAACATCTCTGTAGACTACATGGAGAAGAAAGTCCATTAACTTCTCTGTACCCTACAATGAAAATATAGTGAATAAACTTATGTTTTTACTACATGTGGAATACAGTCCATAACCTTCTCTGTACACCATATGTGAAAATAGGGAGGACAATATTTAGCCACCTCTGTACACTACATAGGGAAGACTTCACTACATGGAGAGGACAGTTTATAAATATCTGGTACAATACATGAAGAGGACAGTCCATAAACTTCTCTGTATACTTCATGGCAAAAGTGTTCCTTAATGTCTCTGTACACATAGGCTCTTCCCTATGTACAGCAAAAGGTGACACATGTTCCTGATACCCACCAAGGTCCCATGATTTCCCCTGGTGAAAGAGTGTGTTGAGCCAATCACGTTGGTGCTTGCCGAAACTCAGCAAACTATTCATTTTGTATTGTGTCACATTGCCTGGAGTGTTGCCTATGCCACCTGTCCTGTACATAATGTTGCAGCTCCACTAACTTTCATTGCTGCTCCCAGTGGGTCTCACTGCTAAAAAACCTTCAAAACCTGGTCACCAGGCCTATCCATGTTATTGAGGTGCTGGCGTTTTTAGTGGACAAGACCTTGTTCACTAAAGCAGTGCAAACATCGATTATCTGCAAAGCGCTATGACCTATAGGAACCAATTAGACTTAGATTTACTGTAGAAAGATCAGT